GTTTACCCAGATCAATATAATTAATGTATTTTGGCCTATAATTATTTGGTATTTTTTAAACATGAAGACTTCAATTATTTAAACATACTATCTCAGGACAATTAAGAAACTCATTATGAAAAAAAATCATTACCCTGTTAAAACTTGAATATATTAAGTCATACCTAAATCTAAATAAACTCCAGAAAGTAATATATGTATTTATATTTTTTCTTAACTATTTTGATTTATTATAGGGAGCAGACAAAATGATGAAGATAAAGATGTTGGGCACCAATCAACCTTTTCAAGTATTTTTTTTAAAAGCAATATTCTTTTTTTTCAACAATGATGTACATTTATGCATCTTAAAATATATTGTGTATTTTAGATAGGATGAAATAATCTCAAAATTAATTTCTTATTATTAGTTTTAGGTAGAAACTCAATATCACAGTCAATTATTTTCAGAATTTACAGACAATACAGAGTATTAAGACATGTAGAATTAGGTTTGTCTCAAGTATATTCTTTAAACCAAAGATTTATTATTTACCATGATTACTGAAAAAACCCACTTCTTTAGAAATGCAATTGTTATATTATCATAGCAGATAAAGAGTCCCAATATGCATAGCTAGCTTAATTTTAATGATAATTATTTAGCATTTCTTGGGATGATAAACTGGTCATATGACAAAATAAGAAATGTATTTTTATTTATTATTCTCCTATTACAAGGTTTACAGTGGTTTATTTTTTTCACATAATCTAATTGGCTGCCTGGGAGTGGAAAGTTGTGTCTCTATTTTAATCAGAGACCTTAAATTATTCTAATGTGTAAATTTTCAGAACATGGTAAGTAAAGAAAAACTGAAATTTATGGGTGATGAAGAAATGACCAACAAGAAGTCCTCTTATTACATTTTACCATAAACCCCATTTCTTTACATTAGCATATCTAATTTAAATTTTAATACTTTTTGCCAAAAAAAATCACATATGAACAGGTCACTAAAATACATATTTATTATTATGTCTTGTTTTCGTGAAGATAAAAACAATTTTTAAGAACATGTTAATTTTAAATTAGCTTATCAGTAAGTCTTAACTTCTAATCTGATAAAATAACAAAAGAATAAAGTTTGGAGGTAACTGTTGCAGTAAAATTACAATGTAAAATTACAAGGGTATTAAAATGCAAATATTTGTAGAACTACTGAAATGATAATTTATTGTTTACATACTACCCTATGTAATTATGTTTCACACACAAAAAATTATTGTGTTTGTCAAATTCACATTGTTTCTTGTCATTCACAAATATGGGGAAATTAGATGACTCATTTTGTAACATTTGGTGTCATGATGTTCAATATTATGTTCAAAAGAAAAACTGTCCACTGAAAAAGGTTTTTTTATATCATAAAAACACATGGGCTCACAATGTTCAGGAACAAAAATAATTTTAAAAAAGATTACATGAAATATTCATCATTTTACACATTAAATTATTCACTGTAAAACTTGTATTAAAGAGGTAAATTCGTCCAAAAATATTACAATTGATTGAAGGATTTGAGAAGACGTAATCAGCTGATCAGTTGCCTGAGTTGGTAATCATAGAATCTTGCCTGATCAATCCTGCTGACAGTTCCTTTTGGCACTTGTTTTTCGTTAACAATAGTTCACAATATATAAGAAAATATTTAATTTCCTCTTAATTGGGTTTATAACATTTGTTTCTAGCGAACAAATAAACGAATAACGTATTTACATACACTAAAAATGCTGGCCTATTTAGTGTTGCGCATTGAGAATGATAGTCACGGCGAGACGAATGCAAATAAAGTTATGGGCCGAGAAATCCAAAACCATTAACAAATATCAAATCACATTACTAATTCTCAAAACGTTACCCCCATCAGCTTTTAATAGTTAACAAAAAACATAACATGAATGCTAACAAGTGGCTTGCCTGTCACGGAAAATTCGTGTGAGTTGTCTTCGCTAGATCCTTTTTACCTGTTTATGGTACAGTTGTCTTACTGAGCATATTCGAAAACGAGGCTGGGGGGAATCCCGAGTGGTTACTAAACACGGGAAATCTTCAACTACGAGCTCGACTTTTTATGGCATATTGTTATGGGAGAAAAAGGCCTCGTTCTAATCGTGACAGATTAATCACTCGTGTGTAGATTTTTCGGTAACAACCGAACACAGTGGTTAATCCTCTATGTATGACGGCGGTCTGTAAATATTCGAGTGTGAACAAACAACTGACATCATGGCCATCGATGTAATGAAGACATAGTTTAGAGACAGGCATACTGTGATCATTGACGCGAATATTCTGTAACAGGGGTAAGCTTGATGCACGTGTTGGGACTTAACATGGGCAAGAATAACCTTGAGCTCCCATATAACGCGCCACTCTAATGTACCTACTGCGTCTTGAAATCTGAGGTCTTATGTAGATTTGATATCTAATATTTTTAATTTGGAACGAAGCGTTTTTGTAACATTGTTACAAATTTGTGATGAATACCTCTTCATCCCGACCCAAAACGTTAATGAACTTAGCCTACGTCGCATTTAGTTTTTGCAGATATTCTTTATTTCAGTATAAAGGCCATAGGCCCACGTACAAATACTCATTGAAAAATACAGTATGAGGCAGATGACAGAGGGTATTAAGTGACAGTATTTCGGATTGCAAGTGCTTCCAGTATATACTTAACACAATTAGTTACAATACCAGTGCGGTTACAAGATAATAGTGTATTATATTTAAATAAGGTAGGATTGGAAGAGTAATAAATAGGTAAATACTTATTTCTTAAATATCTGTAACATGGGCAGACAAGCATAAAATGAAACTCATCTTCAATTTCCTGTAAATTACAATATCTCCACTGCCTATTACAGTACTCTATACCGCATCTTCTACCTAAATTTACCATCAATGGCAACTCGCCAATTCTTAACAAACAAAAAATACGTCTATAATGACGGCTTGTGATTTCACAAAGATACTTTTCAACTATTAGCAATGACTTATATTCCTTATACATTGATAATTTACGTATTACACAAACTTTACAATACCAGTCCTGTTGGTTACAGTTTTTTAACCTTTGAATAAATGCATTAATAAAGAGGGTCTCATTTCCAACTTCCTGCGAAATCCACACGTGGCCCAATCCATAACTGAATAATAATATTTTGACACAAGTTACTCATGTATTGAGCTTCACTTCATCTAAAGATTTCAGCATTAAAAAACATTGCTTAGGGTATCTATAACTGGGTAAAGATAAAAATTTCAACCAATATTTAATACATCTCTTGTGATAATCAATAAATAAGCCATATCTACCACATTCGCCAAGGGCAGCAACATTTGTAACATGACTTCCAATTCCAATAGTAAATTTACAGAATTTAATCTGAATTTTTTCAGTTGCTGCAATTTTTGAATAGCCCCATATTTCTGAAGTGTATAATAATACAGGCTTAATTTGAATGTCAAATATTTTAAAAAGTATATGTACTGGTATGTTCTTCAAACAATGCTTATTTGCCTTCTGAACAAGAGAGTTGATACCAGTCGTCCAACACAGCCGATTTGAAAATAACAAACCTAGATCATTATAATAGGTAGATACATTAACATTAACATCTCCTAACCTCCATTTCTCAGTACTCCTATGTTTTCCACCATTTCTGAAAACTAAAATTTCAGTCTTACTATGGTTAACTTCTAAACCCCATTTAGTACAGAAAGATTTAAGGATATTACGTTTTCGTTGGAGACCAACTACAGTATCATCAATTATGCACAAATCATCGGCATATAATAACAACAAAATGTCTAGAGATTCTTGACTCACAAATATTCCCCTCTCGCCGGGGGACTGCAACATTGATTCTTATTCAACAATAAGCAAAGAGAACAATATAGGGCTAAGGGTGCAGCTTTGACATACACCACTTAGCGTTTCAAAGTAGCAAGTTGCTGTGCTATTTGATAACTTTACAGCCGATTTCACTTTTAAATACATATACTTATGACATAAAATAACTGTCCATGTATACCCTTATTTAACATGACATACCACAACAATTTTCTATTTACACAATCAAAGGCTTTTCTAAAATCAACAAATAAACAGTAAAATCTGCCATTAGCTTTAGATAAGTATTTCTGTATTAGACTTTGCCACACACATATATTATCAATGGTGCTGTATCCAGCCCTCAAACCTGCCTGAGACTCTGGTATCTTATCGTAAATGTCACAAAACATAGTAAGCCGTTTATTAAGAATAAAAGTAAATATTTTACCCAATACATCACTAAGTGTAATACCCCTATAATTGTTAACATCAAATTTGCTGCCTTTCTTATGAAGTGGAGTAAGTAAACCTCGAGCCCAATCCTCAGGAAAATTACCACTATGCAAAATAGCGTTATATAATATAACTAGATAAGGAAGAAGATTACCCTTGCAACACTTTATCATTTCTGGTAGAACTCTATCGGGACCAGCCGCCTTACCATCTTTCAAATGATTAATAGCATGTAAAATTTCTGGTTCAGTGATTTCACAATTCAAAATATCATTTAATTCTTCATCATTGCAGACAAAACAGTTAGATTCCTCGTGTTCATAAACAAAACTCTCAGCGGAAGCAAGATTATCATGATCAACATCATAATCAGTTATATTCAAACAAAATTTAAAGTAGGAGACCCATTCTGATGGAGCTATAAACTGAGTTGCATTAGTCTTTTTTGATACAAGTCCCTTCACTTGGTTCCAGAAGATCTTAGGACTACAAGTATGAGACATTAAATCCTCAAGTAATCACTCTTCAAAAATCAATTTCTTTTGTCTACACATATTTCGATACGCATTTCTTAACTGTCTAAACTGTTGTAAATAGTTCAGATCAGCAGTTATTCTAAACATATTAAGAATACAATATTTCTCATGTTTCAACTCTTTACATTCGCTATCATGCAATCTTGCTCCTGAAAATGTACATATGTTTGAGCTACTAATTACCTTCATATCACTGACAGAAGCACAAGTAAATGATCAATGATGTCAATTTTGTAACTGCACAATTAACACCGCTAGAAATTTCACCCATGAAATCATCAAAACTATATGATAATAGCGAGTCCCGAAGTAACTCAGAAAACGCTTCAGCCTTACCAGCACACCATCGGTATCTACAAATAGATTCTGCATTATCAGCATACATGTTACTGATAACATTCTCTGTATCTGTAACACCAAACTTAAACACAATGGGAAAATGATCTGACTCACATCTTGTGGCTAGACTGAAATCATAATTAGTACTAAATAATTCAGATGAACATAAGCAATAATCAACCATGCTGGCACCCCCACCAGCAAAGCATCTGATATTGTTCTCCCATTCATCATATGTATATCAAGCATAAATCTATTAAATCACAACCATGGGAGTTTACACGATCATCTGTCCACTTTCTAGATATGCTAAAACTGTCAGTTTTATAATTCAAATCTTCCAGTGAAGGAATGTATTTGTTGCCATCCTGTAAAATATAAGCCTTTAAGTTGCCTGTTCTAGCATTCATATCACCCATAATCACAAAAACAAAGTCTTCAATATCAGCATCTGTGATGCACGAGAGCAAACAGTTTTCTAAGTAATCAATCCCTTTCTGCAGTCTTGGATCGCTCCGAACGGATGAATATACAGGGTGAATACACACACACCCATAAAAAATATCGTATGTGTAACCAAAAAGTTTCTTATCCAAAAGCACGAAAATACAATCAGTAAAGTCAGACCAGATCTTCTTGATGTATTGACTTGCAAAATGGCTAACGCAAAGGGCAACACCGCCTCTGTTATTAAAGTCCCGTTGGTTAATATAAACAGTATGGTTTGTAAATATAGAAGAAATGTCATCTTTATTTACATTGTTCCATATTTCAACAAATCCAATGACATCAAACTTCAGACAATAGTGTATAAAGTCAGAGTCAGCTAGTTTCTGTTTCAAACCATGAACATTCCATGTTACTATTTCAAACCAAGTACTCGCATCAATCTCTGGCGGCAACTGGTGGACCGGGCATTTAGTTATCACTAACGGTTGCCGGAGCAGCTGTTGACAATCCCGTGTTATTAACATATTGAAAGAAGAGAGAGGACAGCGCCAATCTTGGTTGCTGATTCACATGTCGGTTTCGGTAATGAACCTGCTAGTTGTATGGTTGTTTTAGCTGAAGACGAGTCGACATATTTTTATTATTTTATTATTGTTTATCTTTGAGACCTTTCAGTTACATAATTTCACAGCATTCACGTGAAAGAAGAATGACTGTTGTGGCCCCAACACAGGTTCGTGTAGGATATGTGTGCGTATTGGGAAATATATTTCTCCATGTTTCACAACTTTTCTTGCCAAGTGCTTTGGGAGATTGGTGTGCGAGGTTTCATGGTATTTGGAAGAGAGCATTTGTGAAGCACTAGAACAGGAATGAGTAGAGGTAGCATATAACCGTAGTTTCGGCTTGGTCGAATTCTGCACGAGTGGGTCCATTGCCAGCAGCCAACGTCTAAGAATATCCCAAACAGGTTCTAATGGTTTCACATCTGGACGCTAGCCGGCAAAGTCAAAGGGTTCTCGTCAAGGCATGTGGTGGTTACAGTTACTACTGGGTTTAAGGATTTGGAATGTCTTTCTGAGATTACAATAAACTTTACAGGTCCATAGTTATTGTAATTCCAACTTTGATTTAATTACAGTGCTGCCGAAACTGCCGAGTTATTTACCGAAAAATAACATTGAACATTGTCATGATAATCTGCATGTACTATAGTATGAATATTTGAATATATCAGGAAATACAAACATAAAATCACAGTTAAACACAAAACTGAATACAACTACAATAATTACCTTAAGAACAAAATGACTGTGAATGTCACTGTGAGTGTGACTGCACCTGCGACTGTGGCTGCGACTGCTGCATTCAGTGAGAAAAGTTCCAGTACGGCATCCAGGCTGTTTGTGTCTTCCTTGTTGTTCACAACTAGTTGAGTCAAAGAAGTGTACACATACAAGTGCTGAATCCAACAGCTAATAAATAGATCACATTTCAACACGTCAATGTTCAGAACTCTCAAATTCTCGAACTCTCCAATTTCTTCAAAATATTATGTCACATTGAGTTTTTCCGCCAGGTGTTTTGATTATGATTTTGAACAGAAACAGGGGCCAAAGACCCTATATTCCTCTTGTCACCATTCACTTTTGATATTGCAGACACCGAATGTTCCAAGTGGCTGAACAATAGAGATTATTCGTCAAATTCACAAATTTCGGGTGCCAATATTTGATTTCCACTCATATATAAGCGATAATTGGGTAGGTCTGAGGGACATGTTGGTTTTGTCCAGCATATTCGTTACCAAATGAAAGACGTTTCAAGTTGACCATACAAAAGAAAATTGTGTATAAAGGAAACCCAACAGTTCAGGTGTGACCGAGGTCACAGATGTCCAATCAAAGGTTATAAAACGATGTCAACCCTCTAGACACGCAAGTGTACGGATTTAATATCTAATCACCTGTGTCTTGACCACGTGGATAATAATTAATAGTGTTTATGCCCAAAGATCAATCATATTTTAGGATCTATTGTTATGTGGCAGTATAGTGTGTAACTATGTTTCTCATAATTGTAAGTGACAGTAAATTGATCGAGGCGCTCGTACAATAACGCCCTTTGCTGGTGACACTGACAGCTAGTTATTCGGAGTTACCTCCCTTTAGTGGTATTGCTTTTATCCCAACATGGTCCCAACATATAAGACAAGTTGTATTGCATGTTAAGCAAATGTATCTTCGTACCTTTTGTAGTGTTGCAAAACTCCCCCGTGTAAGTCCCACTGCAGCCAAGTATACAGACTCCAGTTGTGTGGTTGCATCTTTCCTCCAGACAGTTGATGCTGCAGGGGTGTTGACAGATATCGCCATACCAGCCACGACTACAGTCTGGACAATCAAAGTATCAGATACATGATTAAGTAACTTCTTTTTCGCACTTTATTATAATAATAGCTGTGAGCAAACCATTAATGTGAGGAATTGTTCATGTCAATATGAATAAAACCCCTAATTACGTTATCCTTATACAATGGTGTGTAATTTCACTGTAAAAAGAGTAGGACACAATAAACATTATTGATGGCACTATACAGTCGTTGAATAGTTTTCTTCGTACAAAAGTATTGAATCCTGAACTAAGTTTATGGCATACAATTGATGCTAGTGCACGTGAGCAGATGTTGAAAGTTTTCTTTGACGTTTGAAACATGTCTAAATAGGCAAAAAGAGAAGTGATATAGATGTTGCCAAATTATCAGTTGAGATTACAGATCGTCACAGCAAATATTTTGAAAAAAAATATTTTGGACATTTATTTCACAATGTAATATTATTTGGTATATGTTGAGTAAGCAGTGGAACTCAACAAATATGTTCCACTTTGTTGAGAGGTGTTCTTAATTTGACCGTTCCTCTTTGCTCATGATCTTTTCCATGTGTGTTTCTTCTTTTGATGACATCCAACTGTGTGCAAATCTAGAGAGTTTAGTTCTGAGTTTTATTATCACATGATTATTATTATCACAGAGAATTGGCCACCATGGCCTACTTCTTTTATATATGGCATTTGTGTTAGTTTTAAGTTCTGAGTTGGATTAATGGTCATGATTTCCATCACTGGATTGTCTGGTCCAGTCTCGATTATTTACAGGCTGCCGTCATATAGCTGGACTATTGCTGAGTGTGGCGTTAAACCACAAACAAGCAAGCAATTATTGGAACGTGTTGCAGAACGTGGACTTGGCTGTTCATGGTGTAAATGCTACTACTTGTGGCTGCCAAGACTCATCATACTGTGCAGGCCATATAATCACGTGTGACTTCTCTATTGTTGACGATAACAACCTTCTTCAGTTATTCAAATATGGACCAAGATTCCATGAGCAACGTCCTTCCATTTGGGATCTCAACTTCAAAATCATTATGGATGCTGTCAAAGAATATGCCGAAAATGGACCAAAAGAGAAGAGGAAACTGTTGAATGTCTTTAAGAGTGGGTTAAGGCAGTGCGTGATGATGCCATTGGTAGAATGCATTAACTTAAAAAGAGGAAACGGAATTGAATAAACCTCTCTGTCCAAGTCAGCTGTCATCCAAAGTCTGGCAGCCCTACATGAAAAGTTTGTAGTTGTCCCCACTGACAAGGCCTCAAATAACATAAGTATTATATGTAAAGATCACTACATTAATTATTTGATCAAATAACTTGGTGTAAATGGCATATCAAATAATGCCACATATAAGGCCAGTATGTTGACTGAGAAAGGCATCTGCCAAAACCATAAATCAGTACTGTCAACTTTTGACTTGACTTAAAAACCTGAAGACATGTCCATTCCTCTCTTGTACTGGATTTCAAAGCTCCATAAAATTCCATTCAAAGAGAAAAATGTATTGTTTGGTCTAACAAGTGAACCACCAATTCCTGTCTCAAAGACCATAATCCTCAATACAATCAAGGAAGGGCTTTCTTCATATTAACTAAAGAATTTGAGACAAGTGGTATTAATACCAATTTGATTCTCAAAATGCTGAGGGTTTGCTTGACTTTTTGCAATCTCAGAAAAGAACCTAGTTCCATTCTGTGAATTTTATTTATTTTTCTACTTTGTACACCACTATCCCACATGACAAACTTAAGGAACTACTTCACTCCTTGATCCATGGGGCTTTTCATACAAATTGTGGTTACCACAGACACAGTTAGGTTCAGGACAATTTGTGAAAAATGAAAGCACACGCAATCTAAAATTTACTGCGAAAATAATATGTGAAATGCTGGACTTCCTCTTTATAACAGCAACATAACATTTTTGGGTAAGACATTTAGGCAAGATGTGGTCATCCCAATTGGCACCAACTGTGCTCCCCTCCTTGAGGATCTGTTTCTATATGTATCTCAATCAGAATGTCAAAACAAGGTAGTTTGCCCAAGAAGATTAACTTAAGCTTCACGTTTTTTCGATGGTCTGATATCATTCCAAAACAATCAATTAGCCAATTCCCTTACACTGATTTACCAACCTGAACTAGAAATAAAGGAGACCAGTGAGACCGCCTTATTTGTTTCACATTTAGATCTATGCATTAAGATTCAGAGTGGCAAGACACTCCCTACAACAAATAAAACTCTCTACAAGACTGTGTGCAGGAGGGATGACTTCAACTTTCTACTAGTCAGCTTTCCCTTCATGTCGAGCAATATTCCAGTAGCTCCAGCCTTTGGTGTTTATATTTCACAACGTTTAAGATACAATCGAGCAAATTCTCTCTACCAAGATTTCAAAGAGCGTCACATGAAACTTGGTCAGAAGTTGTTTGATCAGATTACAACATTCAAGGTCTCAGTAAAGCTTTCAAATAGACTTTTGGTAGCCCTGTTCCCGTGTCTTGCCAGGTGAACAAATGACTTGCCCTTGCATGTGTTTGTGATGGATGCCACCGGTGGGGAAGGATACACACATGCTCATGAAAAAGTCGGAACTGTACGATCGATTCAGCTTTTAGCAGGGAGGGTTGCATTTAGTATTATGATTATTGAAAAAGATCCTGTTGTGTGTATGAAATTGGTTTTGTTGACTTTGCATATTTTAAACTATATCAGTGATTATATGGAGTTTGTGGGATATTATTAGGAAAGATAGATGACATGACACTTTAGTTACAATGTTGAAATTAAAATATATTGCCATTTAGCTTCCGGGCACAATTCCTATTTACAAATCACCCTTGCTTTTCTGATTATCAACATCACAGTTAGAACAAAAAAGAGTAGTTTATTCTGTTGTACCATTTCATTTACTTAAAGCTAAGTTCATATCATTCTAAATATGTAGATAAGAGAGTGTTCATAAATTTTTAAGCTTCCATTCATATGAGGATAAATACCGAACGCTGATTCATTAAAATCCCCTACCTCGAGTATCATTACAGAAATGTCCAGCGTTAGTTCCACTGCAGCCAAGTGTGCAGTGCCCAGTTTGATGGTTGCATGTCTGTCCTAGACAGTTCCCGCTGCAGTCTTGATTACACAGATCACCATGCCAACCACGCTGGCATCCCTCAGAACACTTCCCTGTGTCAGTGTCACAGTAGGGAAGATCAAGTGGAGGAAGAAGGGCACAGTTCTGGGGGCATGTTAGGTTGCAGTGCTCGCCATGTAAGCCCCACTTACATTCGGTGTAGCCCTGGACAACCACGACTGAAATAGAGCATCAAATGATAATCCTAGCATATCATCTTCATGAATATCAACGTCTGGATAATCCATTGTTTTGTGAATCGTTTACTGTTCTTATGACTAAAGCTTCTGTCTTTAACGTATACAATTTGCAAACTACGTTTTTTTTAATCCACTGACGAGGCAACAAGTCAGCTGTGTTAATCAAAAGCATATGTGTGAATCTTGAACTTTTCTTATCATCAAATGGCACTATTTTTTTATCAATCCGTATTCTGCTTGTCCATCAATAGCACGTGGTTTAAATGGAATAGACAGAGGGGCTAATTAATTATTTATATCATTTGCCTTCATTTCCAGTTATTATTTCACACAAGTGACTCACAGAATGGCAGCAGAAGTTGGACGAGTCCCAGCATCATTGAACAAACACCTGAAACAGAAGGAATGACTTTTGTTATACATATTTGAAATAAAAAAAAACATTTTCAAGAAACCGAAATTAGGATTAAAATAAATACTGGACAAATATTCTTTCCAACCTTGAGCAGACATGATGAACATAGAAATGATAGGAAAATAAATAGAACATGGCTTTCTTCAGTACTACTGAGACGGGTTGTTTACACATCTGAATGCAATCAGCGGACATGCAACGAGGTCTCCGACCTCATTTCACTGTGTATGCACACCCAGGGGTGACAAAAATTTCCAATGAGGACAGACTCGGGACTAACCGATCACTCAATGTAAATAGGTTCATAAACATACATAAACCATCGTAAAGAATAACCCCTCCAGTCTTATACAGCCATTAGTTACTGGCAAGGTCACATTTAAATTGTCGACGGTGAACTAATTATAGTATGGGATTTCCCGTTATTGCACCATACCTCGTCACACACCATCGTTCTCTCCTACCGCTGGCGAACTATTTTTAGCGTGATGTCATCCATACGCGGCGTTCGTGCACAACGCTCCTTTTCCTTTGGGTGGGTTAAATGTTTCAGCCCATACATTTGTTTTGAAGTTGACTCAGCATAATTGATCAATGCTACTGGGTTTTGCTAAAACTCGGGCATTCAGCTCATCATCAGTTTATTTTAAACAAAACTGTAAACTGGAAAAATACAGGCTTCTATTCTCACGGAAGATGTTTCGATTCAATCTCGGTTTAGGGAGTAAATTCCTTCTTCTAAAGAAATGAATGCAAAACAGATATGTTGTGTCACAACAGTTGATCCAATGTGGCAAAATAACTTACATGTGACACGAGTATCAAAGGTTATTTTGTATCTTTCAAGGAAATTCATATGAAGCACAGTGGAATGCATGGTTCCTACAGAAGATGTATTAAATACTATTTTAATCAGAGATTTCTTTTGTGGGGGTTTTCACATCAAAAAGCATTTTACCTATCGCGTGGGACGTTTATCCATTATTGTTGTTCAATTTGTGGCCTCATGCAGGAGGATAATCAGAACTTCTGCCAGTTTCGGGGACGCTTACCAAATTGTTGAAACTCACGAGAACGGGTGTGGTCTCACGAGAATGGGTGTGCTGAGAAACAAGGCGATCTGTGATTCAAACCAAAAATCGTAGCATTCATACACGAATCTTTGTAAAGTTAACCCCTGTTCCTTAGACGACAGGGTATACGTAATAGTTTGTTGGGTGTGCCTACAGTGCAAATCTTCACTAGTATATTTGCAAATATATCTTGACTTTGGAAAGATAATATGTTTTTCTTAAAGAGTGTGTGGGTTTATCTTGGAAATAGATATAATTACCAGTCTACTGTATGGAGCACAATATGTGTACTCATAACAGAAACATATCAAGCGGTTGTGATAATCATAACCCTGCACGATTTATTTTTTCCGGCTGAGGAGGAAAAAGAAAACAGATGCTGTAAGCTAATTTCCAAGAAAGTGAGTCATTGCCTGCTAATAAGGACAAAACAACTTCACACACACAAAGGCAGCTTTACACTGGACAGTGTGGCACAGCTTACAGTAACACACAACTGTATGTAGTCATGTTGTGTTGAGCTTTCAGAACACATCATGACACTGTTGAAGTTCATATGTATGACATATCTGATAGTTTCTTCGAAAGGTAAGCTTGAAAGATTTTAGCTTGAAATAGCTCATCTTCTTATCTGCTTGCATTCTCTTATCAGCAAAGTTGTCCAATAAATTGATTTGCTAATGGTACATCTCAGTCAGTGGTTCGTGTACAGAATTTGCCTTAAAATGTAGCCCAATGTAACAAAGTCACTGCTTACATATTCTTAAATGTGGTATGCTAACAACATATTGTTGCCTTCTTGAAATAGAAGTCATTGTATGCTGTTAATGTGACATGTGCTCTTATTACAGGGTACAGGTGACACAGTTTATGCCATAGTTTCAAAAATCATATATTGTAGTCCTTTCCATTTCAGGCGACCAGTGCAAGGACAACCAGCACTGTTCTGACTGTGACAGAAGTACAGGACATTGCATCACAGGCTGTGACACTGGGTATTTTGATCAGATGTGCAGTTCAGTGTGCAGCAGGAACTGCAGAAATCACTCATGTCAGTTGTCAAGCTCCGGCACAGGTGCTTGCACTGACGGTTGTGTCTCCGGATATCAAGGCTCTGGGTGCAACGTACACTGTGGCAGTCCAGGAGGTACCTGTGCAGCATGTCCAGGTGGTTGTGATGGAGGATATTGTCAGCTAGGCTCCTCCTGTGTGTCTGGATGTGTTGACTCCTACTACGGTACTGGCTGTAAGACGTGTTCAAGTAGATGTAAGTCCTGCAACACGATAACAGGATTGTGCAAAGAGTGCCACACAGGATATTTCGGTCCAAACTGTGCTTATTCCTGTGATCATTGCCTGGGATCCTGTGAACATGGATGCGCAGATGGCTGTCTTCCTGGATTTTATAGCATTTTCTGCAACGAAAAGTGCAGTGAAAATTGTGGACCAGGCCCCAACGTCTCTACCAGCAAACATCTACAGGCACCAGATGCTGGTTTACCTGTCTGCAACAGAGCTAGTGGGGATTGCATCCACGGGTGTAAAGAGGGCTGGCGTGGTCAACAGTGCTCTTCTCCATGCAGTCCTATTTGCGCCAATAAACGATGCAAGTCTACAGGTGACTGTGTAGATGGTTGTGTACCTGGACATTTCAGTAGAGGCTGTAAACCCTGCCCTGTCAACTGCCTTCACAACATGTGCCACTCGGACAGCGGGAAGTGTACAGACGGATGTACACGTGGCTTTTATGGTGGACTCTGCCAGCACACGTGTAAAGTGTGTTTTGATGGTGTCTGTGATCAGAAGACTGGGACCTGTACCATAGGCTGCCACCTGACTGGACAAACGTGTGATTCTACCTGCACGTTCAACTGTTCTATAGCGGAATGTCTAAGAGTGGAACATTGCAACCAAGGTAACTATAACTCTATAATACTTCCTGGTTGCATCAGTTCAGTGGAATGTGTTCTATTATTTACCTTGTCTATATTTTGCTAAAAGGCAATTTAAGAAGTTCGAGTGTTCAAATGGAAGAGTGTTTCCATGCATGTGTCCTTTGTTGCATTGAAGTATTGTGTTCTTTGCCCTTATTGAATAAGCTGGAATTACATGACTTCTACATATCATCTTACACATTTCAGGTAATAGTGACAGCAGCATTGTTGACCTGAAGATTGGACTATCAACAGCCTTTTCACTTTTTGTAGTGATCATCCTGCTGGCCTTATCACCCGTCTACTGCAAACATTTAAGAACTTTTAAGTAAGTACAGTAATTGTGAATAATCAACAACTACTTTCATCAAAAGAGACATATATGTATGGTTTAACACATTCATGCGTTTTCAACTGGTTTTTTTAACATAACCATGCTACTTTTACCACAAAAGTATGTATATTGTTTAGAAGAGATCTAGATCCCAAGTAACCAATGTGACTGGCGGAATTTCTTGTCATCGTACGCAATGATCAGGGACATCATCAGACAGTAATCAGACTGGATTATTTACATGACGCCACCATAAAGCTTGACTTATGCGTTTTTTTCTTAATCACAGACAGCACACAATACAGGGAATAATTCTACACGAAGCACCAAGTCATGAGGACCAGGTACCCCCGGACTACTGTGAAATCAGAGACGAAGATGTTGACAACGTGTGTGAGCTGCCAGGGATAAGAGGAGATGAATCAGTAACTGGAGCTGCCCCTGTCATGCCTGTTCTGGCAGACTGCTTTGTAACAGATTGTGAAATCAATGATGTTGCTGCGGCAGAGCAGTCTGATGTTGACGATAACACGTACACTCACCTCGTGCGACCGGTTGTTGTTGAGTGGCAGGAAACAGTAGTGAACTATGTACCTCCAATCGAAGAGTGATACACTGTAACCGCAGCATGCTTAGTTTACAAAGGAGTTTGTATTTTGTTTTGTTTTTGTCAAATTAACTGCAGTCAGTCACCAAATATTACACAATTAGACAGACATGAACATGGACAAAATGTAACATGTTTAAAATCAGCATTGAGGTATCCCATTTTATATACAAAAGGGTGTGTAATTTTATCATTCTGTCAATTAGTAATGATGGTTTTAAAAAATTAGACAGACGCTTGGGGTATTGTTCATTAATCCTAACCTTCACTAACCTGTATAAGCCTCAGCTGTCATAGTACTACCATTGGCAGGAAGAGTCCAGTCGTTTTATGAACAAGCCTGTGACTAAGTTTTATTGATCAATGTGATTGTCACGTAAGACAGTCGCAATGTGTCTCTCCGCCTCGTTGGGTGAAGGTTTGTCGAGACAATTTAATCTTTATCCATACTTAACCTCATTCTTGGTGTCAATGGGGTTATGTCCGGGTTGGGTTAGTTTCATAACAATATGGAAGTAAGTGTGTGTTTACTTTATCAGTGAGTACATAATTATAAGGACATTTGGTAAATACATTTATTTCAGAGAGCAGTTGACATGTTGAATTTCACCTTTTGCATTTTACCAACAATGGTTGCTATTTGCCAGAATCAATTTATGTGTTTCAGTTTTGTTATTGTTTCATTGATTTGTTTAGATTTTGCTTTCTGTGTTTGTGATAGGTCGAATGTTTCGGTTTTTTCCAGACTTCAATTTCATTTCCACAGTTTATAAGACTCGTTTCACTTGTACATTATTTATAGATTTCGATGTTTAGACCAAGAAGATGCAGATGTCCTTATGAAAGGATAAAAAGGACATTGCTTAGATTTCGTAGGTTCACTTTGTTCACTTTGTTAACCTTTCCACACCTCTTAGAACAATAAATTAAACGTTACTGAGTTATGTGCCAGTTAAAAAGGTTAATGTCAAATGTACACGTTTATGTACACTTTGTAAGGAGAAGATTGTAAATATTCCTTTATTCGTGTATATATTAATTTCAGTCAATGCACATGCTTATTGCCCCGTCAATGGGACACTTTGAACAGGCATGCACAATAACACAGTGGTCACAGAATGTTAGTGTATGCCATCACAATTCGGTCTAATAATGCCGCTTCGTTTCCACGTTTCAACATTATTCAGGCTGGTTAACGACTCAAGTTGAACAACATCACCGGAGGAGTGAGATAAATACGAAACGTAAATTCATCATCAGCCATAATGCCATTGCTTATATTACTGGCTTCATCCTTTGTTTATGTCACTGACTTCACCGATGATTGTCATTACTACCCTTGTGTGTACATAACAGGCTTCTCTACTCCAGTATAACAACATCTACTCTACTGTATAAACATTGCCTCCTACTTGTATATATACTTGCCAACCACACTCTGTATATCACTTGCTTGATAACGGTGTTAGAACCTACACCGAAACTTCTCTCTTCATTTTAATAAAGAAGTTGTTAATCCATAAACTCTTATCCTTAGTTATTTGGGTAATAACCTATATCTTGTCATAAATATGGATTTCTTTCAAAAAGTGCTATGGATTGTATGGCTAAGAACTTAAGTAAAGAGGTGTTTCAAAGTAGAAACATTAAAATATGTCTGAAGTATTAAAGCAGTATCCACTGAGTCTAAAAGAATGTGTTGGAATGAAAATTGGAAACACCATCCAAATACTGTTTCGCCTCAGAATCTTAAAACCTTCGTGCCTGGATATAGGTACATGGTTATATAGCTGCTGTATATATTCATGCCGTTACAGTGAGTGAGTGAGTTGGGTTAACCCCGCTTTGAACAGTATTCTAGTCATATCACAGTGTCAGCTTGATGTTGGAGGAAAGCTAGAAGTGATGCAGATCTTAGACGTTTACAACTTTAGTTTACTCAGACAATCGCCAAACGTTTGAAGAAGGAATAATTAAATGCAAAATCGCAACAACGAGCCAAAAACTATTTGGTCTCGACTCCTAAAACCTTGACTCCTGAAACCGTACTGCCGTATGGAAGTCTATTGCACTGTGAAAGTCACACCTGCCTGTATGGTGGCGTATTGCCCGTCTCACTCAAGTGAATGTTTTTTCCTCTCATATTTGACCCTGATAGTTATGGGTTGTGCTAAGTGTTCACATGCCGCCGTTGTATGGCAAGAGTTCTGATGCACGGCGTGAGTAACACGCTTTTTTATGCAAATTGTGTGAGTGGCTGATGCTCCTGTAAGAACAGGACATGCTTACCCTTTTTGCGACCATCTGGTGTCATCAGTGTTCAGTGTACCATTAATACAACATGTTTCGGCGGATAATCGAGATAATATATGGCCTTGACATTTTGTATCGGATCTGGTCAAAACTTGATTTTTTAAAGACCCCCACCATATGGTGGCGTTACATAACAGTCAAACAAAGAAAAAACATTAGAAAACTAAAATATGTAGGTGAACCAACTTCATGGACAAGCAATAAAAGGTATATGTGGTATATATGTCAAGGGTGAAGTTTACGCAGCCGGATGATGAAATACACAATAAACAAGCACCCACGCATCGGAAAGAGAATTACCATTTGGCCAATTGGTGTTTGGACTCAGAAACAACACATACTTCTCAATATTCAAGTAAAATTGAAACAAAGACTACCATTCAGTTCACAATTACCAGTAGAAGATATTGTGGGGTTTCATTCACAGGTCAAAGCTGTGGAAAGATTCTGCCATATATGACTAGCGGATATTTCCAGAAAGAAAATTAGGACGTACGTAATAAACGTCAATCTCTTGTTTGATGACGTAATGTTGTCAACTCATGAACAATTGGTCATGTCACTACAACCGACCAATCATCATTGCTATGTGCTGGAGTGACATTTGATTCAGTACCCTTATGGTTATTGGCGCAGTAAGCGACGTATATACTAAATGTATATCACGATACTACATAGTCATTTAAGTCCCCAAATCAGTACATTTCAACCGTGCTATTCTTGAACTCCATCTTTCGATACAACACACATGACACATGATCCTAATTATAATATTTGCTACATTCGAAAACTTACTAAATGACATTGAGTTTTCATTCAAATTATTTGTTCCCTTATTTTTTGTCGGTACTCGTATCGCATGATAGCCATAACAGCAGTTATATTTCTAGGTATCTATCTTGGGCAGGCAATTCATAATCTGCGTACATATTCTAAGTTGTCGTAATAGATGTTCTCTTACTTACCTTCTACAGATACCCACATAGATACCATCTGAATACAACACGGTGTAGACTGCCTTGCTTCACGACAAGAGTACGTGAATTTACACTATACACACAGCTCCTTGTGACCTTAGGGTATTTATAGTCGCCTGGTTGTACCTGCTGTGTAGTAGACGTAGCAGCAGTAAGATCAGCTTTTTTATCGTATTGATTTACCACGAATCATAAATCTCGAGTCAAGAAACGTCAGTGTTTGATTTTATGAGCAACGTCCTACGCCATTGGGGTGTGATGATCATACATACATACATACATACATACATACATACATACATACATACATACATACATACATACATACATACATACATACATACATACATACATACATACATACATACATACGTACGTACGTACAAACGTACGTACGTACATACATACATACATACATACATACATACATACATACATACATACATACATACATACATACATACATACATACATACATACAACAGAACACACACACAACACCAAACACAAAACACACATATACACATATAACACACACAAGCATTACACAATACACAACTCATACATACAAACACGCAGAACACACACAACACAAACACAACACACACACAACATTTGCGCACAACACAACACTTAATACATGTACACACACATATAACACCCACATACACACATAACGCACGCACACACACGACCTATACGCACGCAACACGCACATCGTAGCACATACACTCACAGAAGACACACATAACACACACACATTACATACACACAACACAACACATATATACACACACACAGCAAACACACAGCAAACGACGCACACAACACACAACACAACACAAACATCGATACTTGAGTGCAATAACCTTCAATGCGACATTGAACCCGATTTCACTACACCTTACGTGTATCGTAAATATCGAACACATTGACCTATGCCTTGGGAACAATGAAGGATTATGGTTTGAAAAATATAATTATATACTATCAAATCAATAGAACCCTGTTTATGATTACGGATAGCTCTTAGGGAATTCTAGCATGTCATCTGTCTTCTAACCGACCTCGGAAATAGAAATATGCAGCAACAAGAGCTGATCGAAACATAAGCATGTGCATGTGTTTACCAAGACTTTATTAGCAGTGTACACAGACAACAACGATCGATAACACCCCCCGTCACAACCAGTACGGAAGTTCAGAAAGGTCGAGCTGACATGGACTGTGTAACATTAGATCACATGCGCTATTTTAATGTTCCTTGTGACATTTGAATTAAAACGAAAAACATTTCCATAATCATTAGAAATATTTTACATCGTACAGCTCCGACAAAAATCATACATTCATGGATCACTATCAAATAGCGATTGTGTCAGTGTTCTCAAACAGACGAGCGTATCCTGCCCCACCGACAACAACAGAGTGATATCCAGCCTGTGGTTGTTTCTACAAACAATACTCAGTGTTGGAAATGTACATCTGCTGGTAAATAAAAGTCGAAGGCACATTTGTCTTCCTAAAACCTAAACATCCTCCCCAACAACCTTGCTTGATAACGGTTTTAGTATCAACACCGAAACGTTGAATTCATTGTAATATAGTTGTATGGCCATAGATCTATCTCCCTTGTCAACCACACAGACTTCTAAATGTCAAAAAGAAGTCACATCAATACATATATTATGTTGTTTTTAAGACATGCCATATCTTCTTCTTATACATGTATCATATGTTTGTTTCAGACAGTTAGCAGGGAACCGTTTTACCTGGGACCCACGCTGTTTATATCAATGTATTAGAAATACATAACAACCCGAGGT